TTAATCATTTGTTTAAGAAAAATATTCATGTATATGAAAACACAAAGAAAATTAACTATATACACATAATTTTTAAAAATCGAGATCTTTATTTGCTTCATATATATATATATATATATATATATATATATATATATATATATATATAAACAAATGTATTCTGAGTGGATAAATAGATATTAATTAATATATATATATATATATATATATATATATATATATATATATATAAATATATATATGAGTAAGTTCTTCAAGGGCATACATCAAATAAAAGGCAAAGATTTAGAAGTTAATCTCTAATTTTTCCAAACGTTTCGACATAGTATTTTATGTCATCATCAGTGGATATAAATATGGTCTTACATCAGTAGCTAGCGCAAGGAACATAATTTTGCACTATCATGCGGACTACAGCCTCGGGCTCTGTCACATAAACTACGTTCTCTGTGCGAAATATATTATATATTTCACAAATATTTTGCTATACTCTGTTCAACAAAATAATATAAAAAAAAAAAACAAGTTAATGTATATATGATAGTGCAAAACTATGTTCCTTGCGCTAGCTACTGATGTAAGACCATATTTATATCCACTGATGATGACATAAAATACTATGTCGAAACGTTTGGAAAAATTAAAGATTAACTTCTAAATCTTTGCCTTTTATTTGATGTATGCCCTTGAAGAACTTACTCATATTTCTCAACATCAAAATTAACTATTTTAACATATATATATATATATATATATATATATATATATATTAATTTGGAAATATGAGCAAACAACACTCTTTTTTGCACTAATTTATTAAATAATTATTTTCACAAACGTTTCGAGACTAGGTTTGTCTCATCATCAAATTATAACACTGATGTATAACACATTCTAGTCTCGAAACGTTTGTGAAAATTATTATTTAATAAATTAGTGCAAAAAGAGTGTTGTTTGTTCATATTTCCATATATATATATATATATATATATATATATATATATATATATATATATATAGTTGTTTTCATAATAATTAGAAGAGGTTACTAGACACTAAGATTATTTGTAAGTTGTCACCTGTAAGGGGGCATTTTTAATAAAAGCACTAGTATCAACAATTAGGTTTTCAATAAGTTGAGGAGCCATATTACATTCAATAAAAAAAAAACAGCAGAGCAATAATTAATTTATTATACACATGGTCAAAAAACGTGGGATTTGCTTTTCAAGAACTGTCAAAAGGTGAAGCATAAACTACTGAAGCTTCAGGCAAATAGATGTCCCACCAAGTTGTAAATTATATCATTTTAAGGTGTTGCAGTTGCCATTCTGTCATCTTTTCAATAACTTCACGTTGTACTAGGCAACATCTTCTATAAATTTATTTTATGCTTTCTTTTGTCGGGTACGTTTCCGTGGCGAGTTCTTTCTCGAAACAAAATGGTATGTGTGAGACTTAAAATCTTAATAATCAAACATCAAATAGTGTTTTCCACATGAATCATAAATAAATAATTTAATGAAATTTCTTAATCGAGCTTTGCATTGTGATATTTTTAAGTGCTGATGTGTTTTTGCTAAATATATTATTTGTTTTAGGGTAAGGTTAAGTGTTCAGAATTGAGGACGAAAGACAAGAAGGAGCTGACAAAACAGCTCGAAGAATTAAAAACCGAACTTACGAGTTTGAGAGTTGCTAAAGTTACTGGTGGAGCTGCATCAAAACTGTCAAAAATGTAAGTATTCTATTTATTTGTCAGTCTATTATCTGCATTATTAAATCATTGCAATTATTAGTTCCTTCTAGTCATATGTTACTTGTAATTTGTTGAATATGTTCATGGGTTATTTATGACCAAGTAAATGTTATTTGGATTATTAAAATAGCTTGAGATTTTAGTCTTCCTAACCTATAACTCAGTTTCTTGTTTTAGATCCTAATTTCGTACCATAGCATTCGATATTAAACATTTGCTTTAGAACTTATATTACTAACAATTTAACATGTATCATTCACTCAATCTTTAAATAAAGCAAATAGCAATATTTGGAAACATTGTGCATGTGCGTATGATTTGTCCTGTAAAAAATAGTTTTGTCATTATTGGATAAATGCACATTGTTTGCTTTTTTATTTCACATTGGATGTGCTACTCAGTACTATACCAGTATTAAAATTATCTAAATTATACTATATACTTATTATAGCTATTTTGTTAGCTTAAATATTTGATAATGCATTTCAAGTCACTTGTTTTCTTAGTGCTTGCAATGATACCATATTTATTTATGATTTAAATTTGAATTTTGTTTTTTTTCAGTCGTGTAGTTCGCAAAGCCATTGCTCGTGTTTATATTGTCATTCATCAAAAGACTAAAGAGAACTTGCGCAAGTTCTACAAAGACAAGAAATATAAGCCTTTGGACTTGAGACCAAAGAAGACCAGAGCAATTCGTCGTGCACTTAGCAAACATGAATTGAGACTAAAAACAATGAAGGAAATCAGGAAGAAGTCCATTTTCCCACCAAGGAAATTTGCACTTAAAGCCTAATTTATCTGTTTATGATATAAAATAAATTTGTAAAAGCATTTGACTTCTTTTAATTTATACTTATGTGAATTTTATAAATTGCAATGTTAACTGCTCCTTTGGCTTTACAGACATAAGATGCCTGGTCTTTATGAGGTAGATGTGGCTAAAAGACTGTGACGAGGCTATAATTCATAAAATTGTATTTCTTTCCTTAGAGCTTTTAAAGTAAATAGTGAAGTGTTGAACTGTTATTGTAACTATAATGCAATCAAAATAAGAAATTAATTCTGATGTTTTAATAACCTGTTTGGGTTCAAAATTCAAATTGCTGTAAGTTTATCATATGACCCTTAAAGCTAATTTAGATAAAATACATATTTAGTAATTTTTAAAGAATGAACATAGCACATATCAATATTCTGAAATGTAATTTATAACTAAATAGTATCTACAGCTTGATTGTTAATTTGAGATATTTATGCTTCGGTATTATAAGGTCTAAGGTTTCAAGTTTCAATTCTTTGATTAAAGTTCTGTAAAATTTTTTGTTTTACAAAATTTGAAGACTAAAATTCAAGCAGAAAGTTTATTTTTTGTGAATAAGTACAAGCTAATTGATAAAGAATGTGCAATAAGTGATTTAATGAGGTTCCAAGAGATTATTGTAAGGATTTTGAAATAAAAAATGAATATATCTACTAGAGTTTATACAGTTTGTAGATTTGTAGATGCGAAAAGATTGAGCACCGTTGCTGTGAATCATTTACTACTGTGAAGTCCACTACAAAACAAGTTTTACGATGACAGATGATACGTGCAAATAGCTGTCATAAAATAAAATGTTTCAAGAAATAAATGTTTTTTTATTATTTTGATATAATGCTGTAGCTTTTATAGTTCGATATGGGATATTTATTAGATACTAGATTTTTGATACTTTTATATCTTATGTGTTACACTGGTATGTATTATGTCTAAAATGCAATATTTAATTAATGTCTTTATTTAAAGTATTTCGTAGTTATTCTTATTTTTAACTTGATTTTAAATAGTTTCGGGTGACAATTACTTTGTATCAATAACAAGTGATGGACCAGTGGTTTTAGGAGCTAAAATTAATTTTAAAGCGGATTTGTTTACTGATGATCAAAAACGTCCGAGTGGTTCTTTTCAGTATATATGGAGAGATAATGCTGTTCCTTCTCATCATTCTGAGGTGAATATTTAAATATATATTGTAATATTATCTTATTGGGTCATATGTAATATATCAAGCAATGTTTACAAAGATAATTGGATTTCCTCAATTGTTTATTTTCAGTAATTCTATATTTATAATTGAGTACATTATTAAAAATATATTCGAAAATTAAAATGATCAGATATTAGAATATATAATTAGCTAAAGCAATGCAATTGTCTAAAATTTGAAATATGGAGACTAAATTTATGTAAATTATATGAATTTATCTAAATTCATATTTGTATAAATTTGTCATTTTCCCATTTTCTTATCGTAGACTATCGAAACTACTAACCCATATAGTGAGTGGAGTGTATCATACCCTTACAAAGATGGATACCAGCCTGGTCTTTATACGGTAGAAGTAGATGTGGCTAAATGGTTTGTTGTTTTCTACGTTACAGTTACTTCACAACGTTATACTTTCAATGTTACAGGTAATAATTATAATATGTACTATAATATTTTCAATATATTGACTCCTTTTACATTTTGATATAAGATTGTAATTATTGTTAAAGAGATTTTTTTGCCAAAAACTTCGATACAATATTCTCATGTTTTCTCAAGATGTTTTATTATAATTTTGGAAGCTCTAAAGTTTATATTATTTAGTATTGGTTCATAAATATTATAGTTTTCTATTTAACTTATTATTTTTAGACTTGATCAATGGGCATATGCTCTTACAACAAAATCAAACAGTTCGAGATGATGTTTTTGTGTCAAATATTGAACCTGTAACACATTCAATAGTTTTGAATAAACCTGATGCACTTCTCTTGAAAGATAATGCTACCTCAGTTATAACATATTGGTTCATAGACTGCGGGTTTTATGGATTCACAAATGATTATAATTTCAATTACAAATTTACTGATGTTGGTAAAGAGCATGTTGTAGAAGCTCTCATTGTGGGTTCCTATGACAAGGTACGTATAAAAACGAGTTTTATAATGTATTTTAAAATTTACATTTTTTTCATTTTCTCACATTTTCTGTGATTTTGAAAATAAATCTATATATTTATTAATGATGATAATTAAATTTATTTTATATTTATTCATTTATAATTTCAGCTGCCTCCTATAACTACAACTACTACTACAACGACAACAACAACAACAACAACTACTACTACTACTACGACTACTACGACAACTACAACTACAACTCCAAAACCACCAACGCCAAATAATATAACAACCGAACATAATATTGAAAAAAGGAATGTTGTTAATGAAGTCAATTATAAGTCAATGATTTTATCCAAAAATACCAATGATGGGATAAATAATAATAGTGTAAATGATACAGATAAACAAATGGCAGTTGAAGCAAAGGTTTTTGCTAGTGAAAATGTTGAAAATGCAAAATACTCAGGTCATACATTGGACATATCAGGGTAATTACAATGTCAATGAAATCATTTACTTTGTGAGAAACTTGTACAATGAGTTATTTGAATATTAACATTAATCAATATGAATAATTGAATATTTTGCAAAAAGCTTCACAAACTGTAAAGCTTAGTGATAAAACTTTTATAAGTTAAAAGAGAAGCTCACGTTTTTCAAGAAATGATATCAAGTAGTGTATAAAAGTTATTTAATGGAAACATAAATATGAAGGTATATGTAGTCTTCTATCTGATTACATTATTATATTGACAATCTTAAGAAAAAAGGTTTCACTGTTTGCAAAGTGTGCTTGTGATAGACAAATGTTTTTTAAAACATACTATAATAATACTTATTTATTGCAAAAAGGTTCTCTAATATAATTTTAGGCCAGCAAAAAATGTATATAGCCAATTTTTGAAAAAACAAAGTGGTGCTTCTGATGCATCAAGTGTAGATTCAGATGCTTGCTTAAATAAGTCATATATTGCTTCAGATAAGATGAAAACATATGGATACTTTTATAGGAAAATAATTGCTCAAGGTATATAAATTAAATAATATATTATATATATAATATATATATATATATATATATATATATATAAATTAATTAAATATATATATATATATATATATATATATATATATATATATATACATGATTATATTACTAATATTAAACATTTCGAACAGCGCCTGTTAGTAATCTAACTGTAACTGGCAACAACTGGCTGCAACATGGTGACATGTTACGATTGCAAGTATCATGTCAAGGTTCTGCACCTTTTCATTATTGTCTTTTAATGAAACCAGGTAAGTTGTTATGCAGTTATTTTCTTTATAAAACTTTATATAAATCATCTAATTAATTTATATTATAGGTCTGTACAACATAACAGGAAAGAGACTTGTGACACTGAAATAACAACAGATTTATGTGAAATTCAATAGTGCATTATTTCTCTCACCCAGAGCATATACTATAGTTGTTATTATAAGAAACACCATTAAGACACTTATATCACCCGTCGCTATTACTATTTATGAAGGTATGTTCAACAAATTTACTTTTAATAATGAAGAGATATGTTATTTCATTTTTAATATTTCAGCCAAAAAGATTGCTCAATTGTCAGTTATCGTTGTTCCAGTTGTTTTTAGCTTTGTCGCTATAACACTAATTGTGTTTGAGTTGCTTATTATATACAGAGTCGTTCCAGGTGAGATTAGATTGATATATATATATTATATATATATATATATATATATATAATATATATATGATTATTCTCTGATGGTAAAACATTACTTGAAATGTTAGCGGTCAAGTGTCCCTCTTGTGATATTTGGTAATTTTGTTGCCTAACCCGTTTCTTGTTTTAAGTTTAACGGAGTTATATCAAATTGTTTTTAATTTTTTGAAATCGGCGTAACCTTTTTGAGAAACCGTCGACAAATCGTGAAAAATTGACTTACATACTCACCCACACATATCATTTTCAATTTTGATCTCAAATGATTTAGAATGACTTGAAACGTCGAGAAAACATAAGATTAACAATTCTTAGTCTATCATCAACAAATTTGATTTTGTGTCGAAATTATTATCTTTCTTTACTGCAAGTATTTGATATTTTCATCTAGATTCAACATTGAAGTGGCTGATTTCGATTTCGGTCGATCGTCTGCTGATCTAGAATATCGCACCTTCTGGAATCGAGTCGTATATAATATTAGAGAAGCGTGGCTAAATGCTCGGGGACATGCTCATGCCCGCCTTATAGGCGATAACACTTCCCATGCGGGGAGTTCAGGGTCATTAACACCACCTGCAGGCGCCGCGGGTGGAGCAGAAAGCCCGTCTTTCAAATATGGCTTCATGACATAAAGATTTGCTTTCATTTGTGCTGTGAATATAAGACCTGTTAACATTGATGCTTTGGGAGAAAAGAAATGAATGAAATAAGTTTTAACTCGAATATTGGTATGTTTTATATATAGACCAAGTAGACTTATAGTATCATAATTAAAAAATTAGGGTTATTGAGAATTATTTTGTTTCTATAAATCAGTGTTTTCATTTTGGTTACTGTAGAATTGTATAATACAAGAACCAAAT